CACAAAAATAGAGTTCTGTATTTTTGTAAAGTAATAGGAATATTAACTCAACAGGATTATGAATAACCTTGCTTTCTGAGGCAAAATTCCAGTCCCTGTGTTGTTTATTTTGAACACAAAAATAAAAAATAAAAATGCTGTAACTATTGAACATGCAGTGAAAGCTGTGAAGGAAAAAGGTGTTACACTTAGAAACAAGCAATTGTGAATACAAGCCATTAACAGGTAATTTTTGAAGAAATATTTAGCATACTTCATGTATATTTGTACACTCAAAGTCCTTCTGAATATGCTGATAGGTAATACCAATATAAGAATTGTCTTTGCTTTTTCCTCATATATTTTATATTATGGGAGTTGGATCAATTTATACCAAAATCCCTACCCCCAAATAACAGATATTACATACATTTTAGTATCTTACATTTGTGAGCTGCAAATAGACTAGAATGTTTTATATGCTTTTAAAATGTATGCAATTTCCTAATCCTTTCCTTCTATCGCACTAAAGAAAAGGACCAAAATCAAACTCTTTGTCCCCTGTGATTGAGCCAAACATGGCAGGCTTTGTTGTAGTCATTTAATTATTAATTTTTAAATGAAGAGGATGCTCTTTTTTTTTTTTAAAGTATATTTTATTGATTTTTTACAGAGAGGAAGGGAGAGAGATAGAGAGCTAGAAACGTCGATGAGAGAGAAACATCGACCAGCTGCCTCTTGCACACCCCCTACCGGGGATGTGCCCGCAACCAATGTACATGCCCCTGACCAGAATCGAACCTGGGACCTTTCAGTCTGCAGACCAACGCTCTACCACTGAGCCAAACCGGTTTTGGCTATGTTGTAGTTATTAATCATGAAGTTGAATTAAGCCACCCTAACAGCTGGCTTATGTTACATTTTAGTTCTTTAATATCAGGCATGCTAAATTCATTAATTCAGGAACATCTACCTTGTTGGGAGCCCATCATTTTCACTAGACCCAGAATAAAAAAGAGATTACCTTGATGTCTATGGGACTGAATTAAAAGGCTGTGAGCTCCTTGCATAAAGGCACTGTAGTGTTGTGTTATGCTAAAAGAGATATATAAATTATGCATAGCACAGAATATATAATCAATAAGTATTTATAAATATTTAAGTAGATAATAAGGAGATAAGGCTGTAGGTTTTGTGGTAGTACAGGTAAGAAACAATGAAAACCTTAACTAAGAAATAAATAGTTGAGAGGGGACCCATTGATGAGATATAAGAGAATTAGAACTGACAGGACTCGGTAAGCAATTAAATGGTTCTTATATTGTGGCTTTTCCCTCAGCACTATATACCTTAAGACAAATATGTATGTATTTAAGTGTGTAGTTAATATATACACTTTCATATGTACACATCTTCCAACAGTGCATATGTCTTGGCAGAACATGCCAACAGCTTCATTATCCAAAAGAGGAATTATATGGCAATATGAATCATTCATTTCACAAATAGCACAAATAAAATATTTGTGGACTATTATGATATTAGAAACCAAATCTGAATAAATGATTCCCATGGTTCATTCTAGTAAAGGGAGAGTTATAGTGTTAAGAAAGGTTTTATAAAATATATGGCTATTTGACTTGTATTTGTGAATAAAGAGTAGAATTTTAAAGTGGGTAACAAAGGAAATGGGGCATTTTAATCTTAATGGAAATAAAACTAGGGAGACAAAAGCAATGCAAATTATTAATAGAGCTTAGGAGGATATTTAATATGATCAAGAGTGACAGTGGAACTGGAGATGGGCTGAAATGTGATCAAAGTAAAGTTCTGTTTTGAGCATTTTCAAGGGAATTGGTTATAATTCACTCCTGCAGGATTACTGGGAAGTAAAAAAGGGAAGTAGTAAATATAGACTACCCTTTGATGAGCCTTCAGTAAGGCTCCGGTTTTATGAATAAATCAAGGAAGAAAATGAAACATCTGAGAAATGTAACTGTTCTCCAATGGCTCTAAAAATTGTCCCTGAACATTTAAGCAGTGATTTGTTCCAAAACCTGGGAAAGGATAATACACACCTGTAACTTACTCCTTCCCAATCAGGAGAAAAGGGAGAATGAATGACCTCAGACAGGCCTTGATAAAGATAAAAGGAAAGAATAGGGCCCAGATCTTGTAAACATACAGTGATATTTGCTAGTGAAAAGATAAAGGGGTGTCCTTATTATAAGTCTTCAGTAGGATATAACTAGATCTTTTATGGTAAATAAACTCAATATTTCTTGATTTATGGGTCATGACTGAATTGGGGAAAGGAATAATCCACAGCAATTTTGTTATTTGTGTACTCAAAAGAATATAAAATGGAGGCGCTCAAAAAACGGAAACAGTGCTTCTACATGAATTATTCTGAATTTATCTGTTAACTTGGGCCACACCAACTTCACAGGGGAGAAAAGGTGGATCTGATGGCTTTGGAATCCTTCAGAAAAAGAATATGCCAACTGTGCCTGCTGTTCCTTCACTTTGAATCATTCACAAAGTATGCTGTTGGGCATTAAGTCTGATTTGACAATTTCATCTTTTATATTAACACAAAACTTCATTTGTTTTCTAAGTTAGTGAGGATACTTCAAAAAGCATATTAAGTTGATATAACAGTGTATATTATATTCATCAAAATGGCTTAAAGTCAGATCAGCAAAGTGTTTAACTTAGTAGTTCACAAAGTTATGGAAATATGTTGTTATTATTTTAAGAATATGAAATTAGATTTTAAATATATTTTCTCTAACATTTTACCCTCTATGCATATATTAGACATTGACATAAGAAACTTTCTGTTCAACCAGAGAAATTCAACCTGGAGAACCCTCTAAGGCTTAGAGTCTAAGCCTCCCTCTTCATACTCTCTGCACATCCTGCCCGGGGACTTCAGGGACATTGAAAAATGTCACCACTGTTGATATTGTTATGTTCTGCTTCAAATCTGTTTATAGGTGTGGGCACAAAAGAACACTTAGGTTCATATCAAATCAATAAGCATTTACCGCTTTGATGATTTTCTTTATTTAAACATCTCACCTTATTTCCTTCTTGGAAACAAAGTAACCCAAATAAAATAAAAATTATTGATAATATCACTCCCTGTCCACTTTCATTTTTTAATAACAAATTTATTTTTATTTGATGTATAGAATGAATATAGGTTTTCAATCACATTTTTGTTTTTCTATCAAATGTAAGTATTCCCACTTAGACTTCATGATGACCTGACCTTCATGATAACTGAGGCCAGATTATTTTTCTACAGTGTGAGCTGTTTTAATGGTGTTATCTGAGAGACTGATGTATGAACTCTGTGGCTTCTGTGTCACCAGGGAACACACGCCAGATAATCTTCAGCCTGAGAACAGACTTGTGCTGTCCAATATGGCAGCCACAAACCACATATGGCTATTGTAAAAAAAAAAAAAAAAAAAAAGAAAATTATCTAACGAATAGTGTTTAATTGAGTACATGTTAAAATGATAATATTTCATACATACTAGGTTAACTCAATCATTAAAATAATTTGATTTTAAATAATCTCAAAAAGGCAATTAGAAAATTTTAAATGACATGTGGTTTGTATTATATTTCTATTAGATAACACTGACATAGATGGTATAAAAAATGTTAGCGTGGTGTTATAGTCAGAAGTGTCTACTGACTTAAGCTCTTTATGCCCTTGTTTTAGTACTAACCAGAAACATATAAGGAAGTAATAAGAATTAAAAAAAAAATTTCTCACTACTATTGTGTTTATTTTTGGAGTTAATCTGTAACAAAATAAAATAAAATACTAGTTATTGTGCCTTTTAAAGAATCAATCTATAGTTATTTCAACTAAAATTCTACTACAAATGTAAAAAATACAAAATATAGTTAATTTTACTTTTCCTATTACAAATTTTACAAATATAAAGAAGACAAAATAAAGGGATTTTTAGTGGAATCCTACAAGGACACTAAAAAATGAGTATGTATACTTGTACCTATTATTCCATTGTATAAATAAACATCTGATAAATAAGTGAATAGAATCAGACCAGTTATATTGCTAAAGAAAAGCTTTAAGCAGCCTCTAAAGAAGAAGGAGCTTACATTAGCATGATTAAATATTTTTCTGCAGGATTTGTAGACTTAGTATGCAAATTTCCATTGGGTAGCTTCTAATTAAAAACAGGTAACAATTATAACCAAGACTATCAATTATAACCAAGTTTACCTAAATAGAAAGTTCCATCATAATGAAAAAATTAGTTACTCACACTTAGGATGCAGTGTAATAAGAACTGAATACATTTTAATTAAAAAATATAATCATTTACTAATCTATTAAAAGTTTTAAGCAAAATTGTGTATTTATATGCACACATATATTTTATGTGTTTATTTTTTTAGAAATCTATGGTGAACATACCATTTTTTGTTATTAAAATATAATTTAATGCAAAACTTATTCTATATCAAGAGCAGATTGGCTAAAAAGTGAATCTAGATGCATAGGGGAAGGATTCTATCTAAATAGGTTTCTTGTTTTTAGGTATGGAAGTTTGTTGTTGAACTTATAAATACTTTTTCTCAGTTGGACTAATAGAAAAAATGATCCTCCCCTTCAGATAACTCACTGGACCTTATAACATTATCAGCATACTGAAGGCTCCCTGAGTAGTATGTAAATAAAACAACTAAAAGGCAACAGAAGGGGAAAAGCGGCAGCCAGAAGCAGCTCCAAATTACGCCACACCATTTGCAACAACATTCATGGAAATACGTGTATGTGGGCCCTTGGGTTTATCCACATACGCATATCTCTCCATAGACGGGTACAGTAAGGAAGGGGACAATGTAAACAATTAGCAAAGTGAACATGGATGAATAAGCCTGCAAGACTCACATGAAACAACACAAAGTGATTAGAAAAACAAAGTCACTAGTACAGATGACAGGAAATTAAGAAAGTCTTCATTTTATACCTTTCTCGTTCTGGTGAATGCAAACTAGTATCTGGTCTCAAGCAGTTGGTACTAGCACTCCTAGCCCTGTCAAGGGAGGGCTGCAGTTCACTAGTGCCAGTGCATTGCATCCAATGGTAGAAGAGAAAGACAAAGAAAACAAAGAAAGGAAGACCATGTTAGAGAGTAAAGCATAAAATAATGTCCCCTTTACACAAAATGTAGAATCATCATGATTCAGTTCACAAGGGTGTGAAAGAGCTGACAGGATGACGGTGCAAAATTTTGTTTAGAAAAATGAAACTAAACAAAGATTATGCTTGAATTGCTTTGCATAATTTTTAAAGAAGGTTCTCAGACTGAAAAATGAAACCAAATCACACCTGCTTATGAAAACAAAACAACACACACACACACATTCACAACACTGGATACAAAAAGCACTACAACAAAATGCCTAAAACTTCATTACCAAGAACAGATGCCACACCAAAACAAAATGAAGGACATTAGAGGAGAAAATTTTTATAACTCAGCTAGACAAGGGAAGTGGAAGGAAGGTAAGTAAGTCTTCCACATGTTCTTACCTAACCAGTGTTTCATCAGTAAATCTCAATACTTTTGAGTTAAAACAGAAACGATGAAGGGGAAAGTCCTGTCTAATCACTGATTCAGTTTGAGTATGTGCAGGCAGAACTGAATGTCACAAGTTAAAATCATCCAAAAATAAAATAATATGAAATTAACTATTATAGGTAAAATAAACAGATAAAACAAGAAATAAATGACAAAGAAGACAGCTAAAATTCTGACGTTTGAGTAGGACTTCATTTAGAGGAATCTAGAATTCATGTTTTATAATTAAAACTATTTTAGATACCATTAATTGAATGTTTCTCTGTGTTTAATTAATTTCAAGGAAAATGCTAAGGCTTTATTAGAATGTAAATCTTTAAAGGGGAAAAGATTAGTTTGTAACTGGGACTTACTGTTATGGCTCTTACTGCAACTACCCCAGTGAGAACCATTCTGTAATAAAGGCATCTTGGGCAGTAAGGTTTTATAAGGCCTACAATGTCTGAAACATGGCCACACAAACATTCAGGAAACAGAAAGATATATATATAAAGCAAATTTTACTAGTTTTTAGTGGAAAATGTTGAATAGGCCTGTTTTTTAATTCTTTCTCTGTCCCTTATCAAATTATACTTTCTTGTCATCTTTCTTTAGCTGTAAATGAGAATAATAATATTAATATCACATAGTTACTGTCAGGAAATTGAGATAAAGTATATTAAATACTTAACACTGTGTTTGGTACTCAATAAAAGTTATTTTCCTTGTTTACTGGAAAAGAGTAAATCCTCAAATTTTATTCTGAAAATTCATAAGTGAATAGATATAATGTGTTCTGAAGATATGACTGTACAAAATGATTAAACTACTGGTATGTCATATCATGTAAACCCTGATATTTCACCTTTAGAAGTAGAAAATAAGAAAACTAAAAATTTATATAAATTTGGCTAGTCTATTTAGACTATTAGTGTGAATATATTAGAAATTCCCACTCAGGTACCTAATAAACATAAAGTTTCAGAGTTTTTGTTTGTTTGTTTGTTTAGTTGTTTTTTTACAGTTATTCAGATTAATAGGACTTTGAAAAACTTTCTGAATTTCTGAAAAAACTGTCTCTATTAAAAAACTATTAGTCATGAAGAGCAACTAATGGTAAGCCCAGACAGTTGAGCATTATAAAGGATGAGTTAATTTTTTTATAATATTTATGATTTTGTATATTTTCCCCTACTCTACAAACAGAACTAAATTTTCCTTATTTTTCCCTGTGGCACTACAAATAAACATGGTAGTAGTTATTAATAGGACTTTATACATGTGAAAAGTTAAAACAATTCTTCTTAGCATGATCATATTTGCATTATTAAGCAGTAACTCATTTTCTATGTACTAGTAGACATAATATATTCTGCATTTGTCCTTGCATTGCTGGTATTCCTACTTAGTTTTTATTGGCCAAAATATTTGGAAGAGTTTGTCTCTCTGTTGGTTATTTCACTTCCTTATCTTCTAACTCCAAATGGACAATAAATATTTATACATTGAATTCTATGAGTAATCTGTAAGGGGATTTAATTGGATGTGAAATCCAAGATGAAAGGAGATGAAAATAAAGTATAGATTCTAAGCTCCAATACAGAGGAGACTATCAGATCCCCTTTCCTTCTCACCTTTAAAGAGGCATCATATTATTCCCTGCCTTAAGAAAAAGTTTGTACTGCAGCATTTCTGAGTTGGTGTGATGAAGGAGGGAAGGGTTAGAAGTTAGCATTTCAGATATCCTCTCTTTATCATGAAGGAAGTTGAAGCTCAGTAATTAAAAGGTATAAACAATCAAAACACAATCAATTTTTCTCAAAGTGCATATAAATCACAAAAAAAGAAAAGTAACACAAAAAATAAAAAATAAACTGGTAAAGATTTTATTAAAGGCTATATATATATATATATATATATATATATATATATATATATAGTGAATAGTAGATCCCAAAAGGAAATTTAAAAAGGCTAAAAGAAAAAGCAAACTTATAATCATGAAAACAATAACAGTGCCATGCACAGTAGTTCAGACCTCTTGTGACTAGACAGGTGTGTGTATTGGGGTGGGGCTGCTCAGAGTGAGCCCTTAGGATTTTAATTGCAGAAATTGGCTCCTCAGTTTTAGGAATGTGAAAACAGTTCTGCAGAAGCTCACTAGTCTCGGTATTTTTGAGCATACAAATAGAAAATTTGACTGCCTGGATCAGAATTCAAATATATTTGGTAGCTTTTCCACAGCCTCCATATAAAATGAAACAAATTTTGAATATTTGGGAAAATAATTTTTCGTATTTGTGATTATACCACTAGGGAAAAGACGAAAGAATAGTAGGATGGAAAGAGAGTCATCACACACAGTTAGCATTACCAAATCCCTGTATTTACCTGGTAGTATGTAGGCATTCTGCACTTCGTCCTCGTTTTGCTCTGGGCAGCATAAGAAGCTCACTGCACAGACAGGATGGGTGGTGAGTGAGACAAATAAGTTATGAAGCATTAAATGACATGGGATATGCCAATGGTATGCCGATGAAAACATGAAGAAGGAAGAAACCAGATTGTCTGCACTAGCATACTTGCTTGAGAAGTTAAACAAAACACGACAGTATTTTTAAAAATTTAAACAATAAAGTACAAACATTACGGTCAAAGTCCTAGCTGTTGCTGATTTGCAATTGTATTTCAAAGTGATCTTACAGAATATAAAAGCAAAACAAAACCAAGCCTTCCCTAAATAAGACATAGAAACCTATTTCTAATTCTAGACACTTGGACTATTTTAATAACTTTAGAGAGGCCTATAAACTTGGCCTTCCTCATAATGATGGGAACCCTAATTTTTTACAATTTCTTTTAAGCAACTTAAATCATGATAGTGTGGTTGGCTTTTATAGCCACTAAAAATACAGTACTACATATTATGTTTTGCCTTAGCAAACCAAGAGTATATATATTAAAATAAGATTATTATATTTTAAACTTGATACTTTTTATATATTCAAATTAATTCAACCCTATTGAATGCCTTGGGCAAAAAGTCCTTTTTCTCCCTCCTCACCTAAATTCATGGTGGTCTCAATGATTGTAGACAAAAAGGCCCTCATTCAACTCAACCCAACTCAAGCTGAGCAGTGTGGAATCCTACTCCTCAGAGCAGCTCCTGTCCCAGTAGCCAATGTAACTTCCCCCTCTGAAGGTCATGCACCTCCTCCCACAGTACGATGACAATTAGGGAGGTAAGAAGCTTTATCTGAGTTCTGTATTCTTAACTACATGGCAAAAAAATCAACCATTTAGCATTGCTATCATTCCCCTACTCCTCCCTGAAAATTTCTCCATTTCAAAAAGACAGAAGAGAATATTCAATAGGTGAGTATTATAAAACCTTAAATCATATCCTGAGCTTGTGGTCAGACATATTATTACAGGTATAGTCAGTTTGGAAAGTAAGTCTGTGGGTATGTAGAGAGTCACAATGCAGAATTCTAGTAATTATGTCCAGGATATTTTTTTTTCATAAGAATCCATCTCAATATTTTCTACTTTATAGACATTTTATGGAAATATAGTTTATAAAATGTAGGGATATAAAAAATATTATTATTGATGTTTTCACAGAAACTCTGCAATGTTATCTATCCTTCAGATGACTTGCATCTAAAAATTTTAATAATATAAAATACTCAATTTTATAATTACATAAAAACAACCCAAAGGCTACAATCAACAACATATAAAATATTTGAAGATTTCTTGTATGAGCTCACTTCTTGATATAGGCTAAATCAACAGTAAACTGTACATTAGAAAATAGCTAAATGTAACATTTTGATTTTTTTTTAAACTGCCTATATTATGACAATCTAGTATTAGCCAAGTGAAAAAAGTTCAGTTTTGAGTGATGAATTACTTTTACTCTCTAATGTACTATGCCAATATATCAACCATATATTTAAAAAGAGCAAACGATATATAATGTTGCGATCATAATTTAAACAAATACCTGTCTTGTTCAGATAAATACTGACTATCCACATCTCTGGATCTGTGATCAACTGGACTTCTAGAGGCATCATGGTGTCTGGTTGGAGAACGTGACCTTCTTGTTGGATGAATTTCATCTAAACTCCTAAAATGATTACAAAAAATCCATACGCATCAAAGGGGATCATCTTCCCAAATCAGGCAGGCAGACTAACTGCGAAGACACGACAGTAATTGGCAAACAACTGACATGGCTAGAAAAGCACTGGGATCATAACCAAATAACTATTTCATCAGTAACTTTTAAAGACACGTCTTCTCTATGAATGCTCTGTTTTTCCAACCTTCTTTTGCAATTCTATCAACAAGGACCATAATGTTTATCTGCTTACTTTATTAAAATTTCAGTCAGGGCCAAAGGAAATAAAGCAATATATTACTTATAACTTCTACACTTTTCCAAGTATTTAATGTACTTCAAAAAGACAATCCTAAATTTCTAAAAAATATATATATATATATTCCTCCTCTTAATCTCATTTTTCTTTGCCACTTTTCTCTACAGGTCTGATTCATTACCATATGATTTCTCATAACAGAAGAGACAACTAGCAAGCAGAATACAAGAGAGTTATTCAAAGACAGTGCTTGGGACATAAATTTCTTCCACTCCTTGAGATCAATGAACAGAAAGTTGCACAGAACAGAATGTTGAGATGAAAGAAGAGAACTTTGGGCCATGAATAAAAAGGCATTTTGCTTACAAATGACTGGGGGGGGGGGGGGGAATTATTGCCCAAACCATGATTTTATTTCAGACAGAAGCATGTGCCAGTTTATAGTACTGTCAGGAACACGAAGCCCATCTCCAAGCTTACCTCTGTAATGGCACATTTGGTAAACGTGAACGCGGCCTTCCCTGATCATCGCCGCGGTGAGGAGATACTGAGCGTGAGCGGTGATGGGTTGTTCTTTGCTGTTCTGGCACAGTTAATGTTGTAGATTTACTTTCTCTAGCACTAGACCTATAACCTACTGGCAAGAGTACACACAAAAAATTAGTCAGTATTTTATAATGTAAATGTTAATGTGGAGATAGCAAATTATATCTAAGGGAGCCACTGACATATTAAGATAAATGACATGCAATCAGTACTATTAGCCATATCTTCAAAGCTATTACATGTATGTACAAAGAGTGCAACAGATACATCCATAAGAACAGGTTACAGTTTGGCTCAAAGGTACCATGAAGATATTGAATATAAATAAATATGACAGTTGATGCCTCAGACATTATAATGAGTTGGGATACTATTTTAATTTAAAGAATAAATGAGTTAGTAATATTATTGCAACACAAATCAAGAAGTTGACAGTAAACTAGAGTTGATATACAAGTCAATACTTAGAAACTTGGTGTCTCTTTAAATATTTAAATTTTTCTTCCAATTTTTTTTTGAGTTTCAGATAACTTCTCTAATAAATAAATGGAAATAATTTCATTCCAATTTTCATTAACAAAGAAGAATAGCAGATCTTCACTATTACAAATACTGATCGTGCATTTTGCAAACCACAGATAGTATTGCAAATTTCAAATAAAAACAATGTATTGGTGGAGATGACTATGACAATAACACAGAGAGAATTAACTCTCCCAAAGAAGCAATCATCAAATCTAACTCAGACCTTGGAAATTATCCCATAAATGTGTTGGTAGTAACATAATTAATACAGTTAATATAATTTCAATTAAAAATAAATTCTAAAAGTCATTCTCTGCTTATATTATCTCTAATTTTAAGATAAAAAGTAATCTCAAATCTATAGTAGCAGTTTAGTTACATTTTTTAACAGGGTCACTGTTTCTTCTTATTAAAAGTGAAATATTAAATTCTCTGGCTAAAGAAAAATAATTATGTTTACAACTACATAAAATGTCCATGAACCATGAAGACACTACATTTAACTGGGCAGCTTGAACTGTTGTTCACTTAGTTATTAATAACTCCCATACGCCATTAAAGGAAGACTAAAATTCTTCAACAGTTTATTTTGTGTGTGATTGTATGGTATTTTGACTAAGCTTAACTGAAAAGCTAGATGTTTAACATTTTATAAAGTGCAATTTATCAATATTGAGACCAAAGAAACTCAACCATTTTGTTACTCTAAACATATCACTATAACAACCAAATAATATAACTAAAAACGTTATAATTTCATATATTTTCATTTTATAATAAAAATAATGGCAATTAAGCTATCATTTTGAGTTTCATGCATAAAAGTTTCTTTGTTGCTGTTCAGATGTATAAAGTGTAATAGTAAGTCTAAAAAGAGACCAATTTACAGTTAATGAAATTGACTTCCCCTTTTAGAGTTTATTAAAATTAAATTGGCCATTTATTAATTAATTCATTCACTATCCTGCCTCAGGAAAAATATACAAAATTTTTAGTTGATAAATGTGAGCATCATTCACAGAAGTAAATTACATTTATACTAGAGGCCTGGTGCATGAATTCGTGCACCAGTGGGGTCCCTCAACCTGATCTGCACCCTCTCACAATCCAGGACTTCTTGGTGGATGTTGGATTGTCTGGTTTCGGCCCAATCCCTGCAGGCCAGGCCGAGGGACACCACTGGTGCATGAATCCATGCATCAGACCTCTAGTATGCATATAAGACCTTTGGTTAATCTCTTCTTGCTCCCCTACCCCCAGTGAGATTCATCAGTCTGTTCTGTACCTATGTGTTGAGCATCTAATCCCTGGTGGTCAGTATGTGTCATAGATACTGATTGAATGGTTGAATGGTCAAACGGTCAAACCATCACTTGCTTAGGCATACATATTGGTAACATCATTAAAGCTGGTTAACAGTCAAGGTTATTTTTAGAATAGTTTGATGACTTCCTACAAGGAATAACCTGATTCTTATTTGAATAATAGAGGCCCGATGCATGAAGATTCATGTAAAAATGGGCCTTCCTTCCCCTGGCTGCCAGCACCACCTTCACTCTGGCTGAAGCCGCCTTTCTGCTCTGACCAGGAGCTCGCCGTTCTGCCTTTCCACGCTGTCCAGAGACCAAGAGCAGCTGGGGTGGTGCGGAACACCTGCCTATGCAAGTTAACCTGCCTTCTTTGTTGGGTTAAATTTTCATATTCACTCCTGATTGGCTGGTGAGCATCACAAAGGTATGTTCAATTAGCATGTTACTCTTTTATTAGTATAGACTAGTGTACCGTAGATGCCAATAGATTTTAAATACAATCACTTTTCTCTTTAATTTCCTAAAAAAACAACTAATAGTCTGTTAAATTTTGTGTTAAAGTTTCTGTGGAGAATGTGTTCTTATCTTTTTAGGAATAAACAAAAAGAAGAAGAAAACAAAATATTAAATGTTGTCAACTCTTATCCAAGATAATTTTAAACTCTCACTGATGGTCTGATAGTCAAGAATGATAACTAAGTATGTAGATATGTACACCACCAGCTTTACAATTTTTATTTTTTTTTAAATATATTTTATTGATTTTTCACAGAGAGGAAGAGAGAGAGAGACAGAGTTAGAAACATCAATGAGAGAGAATTATTGATCAGCTGCCTCTTGCACACCCCCTACTGGGGATGTGCCCGCAACCAAGGTATATGCCCTTGACCGGAATTGAACCCGGGACCTTTTGGTCCACAGGCCGACGCTCTATCCACTGAGCCAAACCGGTTTCGGCCAGCTTTACGATTTTTAGAAATATTTTTCTTTAATACAGTGATTAAAGACTGTATTTTTTATGAATTACAAAAGCAACTGAAACCTAATTTTAGATAACGCTATAATTTTCTCATAGTTTTAATGAAGTTGTAAGTATCTCCCCAAATTGTAAATTTAGTCACTAGTGTGGAATCTGTCTGTTAACTTTGCCAAAACTATCACCCTCAAATTAAATGCATCTATATTTGAGAAATTACATAAATTAAGGGGATATGTGTCAACATTGTCCTAAAGAAATGCCTTATTAATTCTTATTTATATGTCCCAAGATTGTTTCTTTAATTTCCTATTATTTTTATATTTCCATATGCTTTATTAGTGAGTCAAGGAAATAGTACAGGACTATTGCTAAGAAAATAATCCTTTACTACTTGGTTTTACTCACTTTCTGACAATAGTCAGATGAAAAACAGAATTGAATTCCACAATGCCACAAAAGAATTTTCTTACCTATACAAAAAAATATTGTTGACTTGAAATGAATCTTTCTAAAGCATTTCCTTATTTTAAAACATACATACACATTCTAGTTATAATCGGGGGTAAACACATCACAAAAGCATTAGAAAGTAAGCCATGCCACATGCAGTTTTAAACTCTGCCATGCTCCTTTCTCAATATATTCCATGGATGGCTACATTATTTTCACAACCAAAGGAGGGAAATCACAAATATATAAGATAAAACGTAAGAAAATGGATTTTTTTTAAAAGAAAATTAAGCATATCCTTTCATAATGAATTTTTTTTCCAGTTATGGTTGCAGCATTGTGAAATAATGATTTAAACCTAGCTAGCCAGGCTTCCAAGGAAGAAGCTAAGTTTAAAAAGTGGGGACCTTAATGAACAGAGGCTAGTCAATTTTAAATGTTCATAGTAATTTGGAACACATGTTGTCACCATGGAATAATATAATACTGATTTATCTGTGCTCTATGTTCAGTATCCCAAAGATACCTGGAGATGGACAGTGAAACAAGCACAGACACACAGTGAAACAGGGTCATGCTCTTCACCCACGCACCTGGAGGCACTACTCCAATACCATCATCCACCTCATAATCTGAGATGTCACTGTCACTGATTCGCTGAGATCCTGCACAACAGTAAGGCAAACAGATACCTCTGTGTCTTGTTGGTTTACAAAATGTAAATGACATGGTCACAGTTCTTTAAAATTCCATTACTACTAAATACTTTTGGAAGTAAACAATAAGCAGATTTTTAAAGTAACGTTTGTTCTCCAAGGATAACATTTTCTAGATATTTCCTCCATAAAAATCATTGAAGGCAGGGAACTTCATAGAATGAGATTTTGACTTTTCAATTTATTCTTTAGTTCAGGCATTATGCTAAAAGCCTATTGCAAAGTACATACACTGTTTTCTATCCAGTGAAGTGCCCTCCTCTGCAGTTTGAGGAGGTGAGTGGAAAGGTTCAAGGAGATCTGTCATGGCTGGAGCTCCATTGAGCTCATATTATTGCAAGGACATCAGGGCCCATTATAAAATATGCATGGTTAGCCTTCAGAACTAGCCATTACACTGCATTAAACATTAATATTGAGGAAATGCTTGATCACAGAAGCACTAACATGAAATATTTAATTATATGAGGAAAACAATTTGGTTCTACATTACCAAAGAGCAGCATCTATGTTTCAATTATTGAATGAGAGATTTAGTCATAATTCAAATTTAATAGGTATGTCCAGAAAAAATAGTTTTTCTTAATCACTGGTTGCAAAACAACAACGTTTACATGTTTATTTTAATTTTTTTCATGAATAATAATACTAAAAATACCTAAGAACTATAAAGTTATTAAGAGGTTGCTGCTAATATATATCAATCCATTAATATAACAAAAATTACTCCATCACTTAACCAATCAACAACTGAATCAATACTGGGCAAAGAATTACAATTCAGAGTGTTTCAACACTCAGCTCTGGAATTACTCTGTTTTGAATATATCATAGTCATTGGGAAAATGTAGAAAATAGTTTTGCCATGACCCTTTACATAAATTAATACTTTTCCAATACTCTGATCTCTAATAGGCATTTGAGAAAATAGCTTGAAATTTAATCTCATTACACATAATTAATTTTGGTAATTAAAAACCTACTTTGTAGTTTTTTGCTGGAGCTTTCTCCATGAACGTGTCGCCTTGGCATGAAAGGTGATGGCTGAGGCAGAGGTAGTGAAGATTCATCATGGGTCTGCAGTTTATACCAATGTGGCTCATCGTCTAAAAGTGCTGTCTCCAATTCTATGAGGATCTGCAAAGGCATTCTTAAATTAAGCAAGCGCATTTACCAAACAATCGAAAAGGCAATCATAAGCAATGCATATCACAAAAACTTGAATAAGCATTTGACTTGAATTTTTACAGTGTACATCACCTCTCCGAGAAATTCGCTCTCTTCTTCTTGCACTCTTGGTTGATCCCACACAGTTATTTCTAACATTCGTTCTCTAAAATCTCTACGATGTACATGTGAGTAGACAAAAGTTTGATTCCATTTTGGTTCTAGTACTTTCTTTACGGTTTTGGTCCTCCTCTTACTTTTATCACTAAAAAAATAAGTATGGTTTGTAAATGAAAGAGTAAAAACAAGTATATGCTGCCACCTACTGTAGTTACATGTGATACTGCTATTGGGATTTAATTTATTTCTTTTAATATAAAAATCTAAAAATACTGTAGAGATTAATGCTATTCTTGTTTTAACTACAATGTAAGCAGTAGTTACGACTGTAGGTAAACACATGCAGAGGTATATTTTAAATGATATGTAGCTATCAAAGACTAATATGTATATAATTAAGGTAACAGAAAACTTAAAACCTAGAAGATTATTTTTTTTTAAAAAATACAAAGTATGAGGACTTTGTTTTTAAGAGATAATGTATTTTATTCCCTCAGATAATTACCTATTAAATGTTAAAACTATATCACAGGTGTATGCAAATGTCCACACTCATCAAAATGTATACATTAAATATGTGCAATTTTTAGCATAACAACTTCATCTCAATAAAGCTTTACAAAGAAAGTAAAACTAAGAAAGGAAATTCTGCCTTTTCTATAAGTAAAGATTTTTGCATATTTTTTTCTAAAATTATTCACTACCTTCTATCTGGAAGAAAATACATTTTTACATAGGGATTCCTGGGTCGCCCATCTACTCTAGAAGGTAGATCTGTTGCTTGTAGAACATTTACAATCAGCTGGTGTCCCACTTTATCATACCACAGTTTCACCTAAGAGCAATGAAGGAAGAAATTATTTGTAAAAATAATGAGCTATAATTTTACAAAAGAATAATAAAATTTTAATAAAACATTTTTAATTGAATTTTTATATTGTTTTTGAAAAAGAATACCAATTTGAAGGCATAACCACTTTGAACTTGACTTTTCTCTTCATGCATTTTAAACATGTCTTACAACTGTAGCGTTATATTCTCTAATATCATATCATGCTATGAAAATAAACTAATGATAATTTTATAAAAACTTAAGGGAAGTAGTGGACTTTAAAATTATTATCATTATGGTTTTGTGTGTTTTTTAATCCTCACTGGAGGTTATGTTTTTCTTAATTTTATTGATATTTTAGAGAGAGAAACATGGATGTGAGAGAGAAATATTGATCTGTTGTCTCCCATATGTGCTAGACTGGGGATTGAACCCCAACTGAGATATGTGCCCTAACCAGGAATCAAAACCACAACTTTTTGGTGTATGGAAAGATGCTCCGACTAACTGAGCTACCTGGCCAGGGCCACTCTTGATTTTAAATGACAAATGAAAGCGATTGGTGGTTATAGTGCTTAATAATTATAGTGTGCCTAAATTGTTTTATAGTCCCATATGTAGATGAGTTAAATTGAGATTTGATATTTGAAACAATATGTACAAGAAAGTTGGGAGCTCAGGAAACACATTTACTGTAGATCTATTTTACACCAGTTACTGCTGTTTTCTGTTTTGTCTCGTTTAATTTTTACAATTTTCATGAGAGAAGGGGAAAAGAACAAAGGGATATATAATACATAAATGATGCCTTCAAAAATAAGTGAAGGCCCAATGATATTTCTCCTAAGATTTCATGATAGTTTGAATGCAGAAAAATGAGAAAATGACACACTGAGCTATTGTTAGACTCCTCAGAACCAGAACTTTGGCAGCCAAAATAGTATTTGTGTTGGCAGCAGACAATGTTAACTTTAATTCTGGTTTAAAATTTTTTATGTCAGTTTTGGTTTTATGGTTAAATTAAAATGTAATTATTTAATGGGTACATACTGGAACATATTTAAGAGTCATTACAACCAGATAGTAAGCTAATTTACCATGGGATTGTTTTTTTCACAGTAAGGGGCATATTAATGACTCAAACCCAGATTTATATGAATCCTTATCTCTGTTTCCAGTTAATCACAGAGATGTGTTTTTCATAAAACCAAAAATGAATTTTTATTCCTCTTAACATACAGGTGGAGTGTATGAGAGATTTACACATACTATGAAAATAAAAAGATGGCAAGGAAGTTAAAATAAACATAAAATACTTAACAAAGATATTTAATATATAAAGTTAAAACTAAGAAAAATTTTAAAATAATAGCAAACTTATAGTTATCTTCTTTAATTAAAATCAAGAGTGGTAAAAACACATTACAGAATACCATATTTTATAACAAAGAAAAAGATCAACTAATATTTATAGAATAATTTAAAGCAACATTTTATTTTAGTCATTTATATAAATGTCCAATATTCTACCATAATCCACAAAGATGTGAGTTTTCATAAGTTAGCCATAGTTTCTTTATCCAGCTTTGCCTGGGTCATCAATAAGGCAACAGTGAGAAAAAATTATAGCTTTTTCAGCGTGGTATCAGCATAATGAGTTTCACCAAATGTCTTAAGAATTTAAAAAGAATACTTTTAAATGTAAATATTTCCGTCTCCAGGCTCATAAGGTTTTAAGTAAATGACACATAATTTGCTGAGTTTATTAGGTCTAACCAACTACTTCAGAAGCTTTTGTATAACAGACAAACTAGAATGGATATTATATTTTCTAAGGTTATTTATCATTTAATGTTGAGAAATCTGGTGCGTTATAAGCACTCAATAAATATTTTCAAATGAATATATAAACAAAGAAGTTATCTTAAAAAAATGCATGAAAAATGCATTGATGTTGACTATGGTGTTAGGTAACTAAAAAAAAGCCAGACATTTTTTAAGATAGACTCAGCACAGTGAGTAAATACTAATGGTCTTCACCATGTATAAAAAACACATACAGAAAGTTGTCCTGGTAAGACTTGCGGGGCATCTTTTAGAGCTCCAGGACTTGTTGGAGAAATAACAGAAATGGAAGGCCTTTCCATCTTCTGAGATTCAAAAGAACTTGAACCTAAAGTGAGAAAGAAAAAAAAACAAATACAAAACAACTAAGTAATTTTCAGTAACATATTTGTACCATATATGTGGAGAATAAATCTATATAAAACCCTAATATGCAAATAGACTGAAAGGCAGAACAACCGAACAACCAAACAACTGGGCTTTATGATGTGTGCTGACCACCAGGGGGCACTTGCGAAACATGGCGGGCATCAGCAGTAGGTGGCAGAGTGTGGAACATGGCAGGTGTCCGCCACGGCAGGACGGTCATCAGGATGAGCCTCTTGTGGTTACTGAAAATTCTTTGCTCCTGCATGCCACAGTCCCATCTGGCACCCACACCCACTGCCAGCAGTGGCTGCTGACCCTGATCACCCCTCAGGGCTTCTCCACCTCCCGCTGCTCCTGAGAGAAGATCGGTGCTGGCAGCCGCCTTTCGCACACGCTTGTATCTGCTGCAGATACCAGACTGCAGCTCGCACCCATTGCCAGTGCTAACTCTGCTTCCAACCACAGATAGCAATAGGGCTGCTGCTTCTTATACCTGCTGTGGGCGCCAACCCCGCTCACACCTGCAACCAGAGCAGGAGCCAACGTTTGCACCTGCTGCCAGCATCTAGCGCCAATCCTGATTGTTTGGTGCAAGCAGCAACTGCTGGCCCTGATTGCCCCTGGGCCCTGATCACCTCTGAGGGCTTCTACATCTACCTGATCCTGATGAGCAATTGGGGTAGCAGCTGCCGCTCACACTGATAGTACCAGCCCCGTTTGCACCCACTGCTGGCACCAGTAGCAGCAGGTGTGAGAGGAGGCCAGTGCCTTCAGTGTGTGGGAGAGGCGGCAGCAGGAGACCTGGAGCCATGGTAGGAGGAGCAGGTGGGGGTGTGGAGGATGGGCTGAGACCTGCCCCTGTGCCCACCACAGCCTCATGGCACCATAGTTCCTTTCAGGTGCACGAATTTGTGCACTGAGCCCCTAGTGGTTTTATAAAATGTTAAATGCATGTTATTTGTATAAAACCTGAATTAAATACCAATAATAACAGCAGAGCCTACTTTCAATTAGATAGTTGTAGAAATTTATGCCATCTTCTTTGATTAACCACCTATTTTACGGGTAGTTAAATGGATATAATCGAGTATTTTATTTATTTGCTTCAATTTGTAAGTATTGATTTTCTACATTATTTTGGAGGAATAGTTTAGGCCCGTGGTCAGCAAACTGTGGCTCACAAGCCACATGTGGCTCTTTGGCCCCTTAAGTATGGCTCTTCTATTTTGAGAGGGCAAGTCTATTTTGAAGAAGTGGTGTTAGAAGAAGTTTAAGTTTAAAAAATGTGGCTCTCAAAAGAAATCTCAATGGTTGTACTATTGATATTTGGCTCTGTTGACTGAGTTTGCTGACCAGTGGTTTAGGCTCTTGCTTAATATCACACGTAGGTAAAAGGCTTCACACTTTTAATGAGAAAGATGGTACCTATTATGTCAATTATCTTGGCTAAAGGATCATCCGTTTTGAACTATACTTAATCAAATCAAAATGAATGCATATATAATTTATGAGTACATCTAAGCCTGGAATTCATCACTGTTTTAAAATAAGATTTACCATCTATCTCAGTTTAGCTCTTACGAATGAATCTCTTGTAAGTCTGAGAATGTTGTCTCTATGATTCACCACAAGTGACTTGCTCCTCCCCCCCTTCTTTAGAGGAGGCTGGCTCTCCACTCAGCCATTCCATGAGGCCCTTTCTCCCCCTTTTCAAATGAAAACTCTCTAGTCCCAACTCACTGTTTAAGTGTACCCTGACACAACCAGCAATATAAAATGCCTATATAATGTTGTTACTCCAGTAAGTATAACCTTGAACCCACAGCCATTCAGAGTTTAGCTTTATTGATAAAACACTATTCATGGACCATTGCCTAATGATTTGCTATCTACATAATTTTTTTCTATCCTATAAAGTCTAATTTAAGCCACAAAGCCTGCCAAATATGTTTAACTATAAGAAACAGTGCTATAATATTCTTTGTTCTTATGTCTCTTTTATCAAGTTTCCTTAAGATAATATTATTTGGAGGGATCTCAGTACAAGAATACTGGTATTTCTAATAATCAGTTTGTTTTTATTATTACAGCAGCTAATTCTTAAAGCATATCAACACTATAAGTTATGCAATTGGTTCCATTTCCATTTGTATACTGATTATCAGAAAGCTCAAAACCAAATCTGGTCTCATCTCTCTATAGCAGGTATCCATAACATGATAGTATGCACTTGCTATACTAACCTTACCTCTGGATCCTTGTTTTTCTCACCCATATATTTTCTATCTTTTTATAATCACCATCACTTGTTTTCTCCTTAAATCACGATGTATTTTATGTTTCTATAAGTTGGATTACACAATAACACTTGGTGATCAAGCCCATGTATTATTAATGTATTGCCAATCCATGGCAAAGGAAATATTTGGGTCACTTTCACATTTGCATCGAAAACTGCATTACTTACCCATTCTTCATTGCATACATTGTCATCCTCTCTCATCAGAAGTGACTTTAATAGCCTTATGAATAATTCAAGCCTCTAGACTCACTATCCATTGACCCACTCATATCCTTGGAACTTTACCTCTATTCCAGCTACTCACTCCCATGATCACACCCAACACTGTTGTGGTGTAGCAAAATTATTTGTTAATGTGCCCATTTCCTTCAGTAGGCTGGCTGCTCATGAGATTGAGCCAATTACCAATCAAACGGAATAATCCAATATCACAATAATTTTTTATGTAAATAGAACTATCACAGGTATAATAACTGAGCTCTATGAGAGATCCTGACTTTTATGATTCAGAAGGGTATTGCCAATAGATTTTTGTAGACACACACACACACAACACACACACACACACACACTAGAAAAAAAAAATCTTAAAATAGAAATACCTTTGGGTTTCCAATGATTATCATGGTTTCCAACTTCTGATATCATTGGAGATAACTTTAGTATAACAATACCAACTCTTTTACATCAAATAACAAAAGAAAACAACAAATCTTTATTTTTCAATTTCATTCAACACATATCATAACAAGGACATCTTCCTTATACTCACTGGATTCCAGGGGAGGGTGGGAGCTCTCGGGAATCCTGGGAATGTCACTAAAAGAAACAGTGTAGGGTGAAAATCCCATTAGCTGTAGTACTTGCCTGAGGCAATCACAGTCACATTTTACTGCAGTGGTGTGAAGAATCCTTTTGGGTCTTTATAGGTGTGGAAATGGACTGGAGTCACTATTAAGGCAATTACTAATGTGCATGAATGTCAAACACCACACAAAAATAAAAACTGCAATAAAAATAAGTTTTTATATATTTAATAGCAAAATACTTTTAACATGACAACAATAAGACTAATATTGTGGCTAAAATTACCACAATATTTTTACTACCAAAACAGCAGGTTTTGGAAATAAAAAAATGTCAAAGGTAATAGTTTACTTCAATTCTAGAAAATTAAAATGGTACATATTTTACAAATCAGTAATATGCTTTACAAACACATCTGAAAGAGTTTACTGAATGACAGGGATGCAAACATCTCTTGATACTAAAATAATATGGTGAATATCATGGGCAAAGTTAATAAAATGAAAAGGATGAATTGCATTGAAAATTAAAAATGATACAAGCTTGCAACAAAAAAGCCAAAATACTTTATATATGTGAATATATAATGAATATGCACATATATAACCCTATATTGGGATTCATATCTTTATACTGAAGTTAGCTAAATAGATGGTTATTTAAATATGATTAGAAAGTGACTTGTGAGAACACCCATTCCTGTCACACTCACAAATAACTCTGAATAAATATTTAATATAACCTCAGCTTAATCCATTATCCACTGTGACCTTAGGAAACCTGGACCAGCTTGGTTTGGAAATTGTGCTATATGGAACTACTTTACCTCTGGTATTCCAAAGATATTTTAGTATAATGTAAGGACCAGATTAACAATATGCAAGTATTAACATGACATATTAAAGCAGACTGGAGTAAGCTAGTATTAAGAGAATCATTAAAATACTGTTTAAGAATTTCTAACCACTTACCTTGTTTAATTTCAATTTAATTTTCTTTGTATTTTCTGGGTAGTGGGGAGGAATGGAAATCAAAACAGTTTTCTCCTTTTGATTATTTTCCTGCCTTTCATTTTCACATTTTTTGTGCAAACTAATTCTCATAACCACCTACAATTTATACACTTTGCAACTGGCGCCATAACCTGTATTATGTATTTTATAAATATATGTTACTATATATGTATAATAAAGAATTTTTATAAAATCAATGTTTTATATGATAATTAGGAAACTAATTTGCAATACCTAAGATGCAAGAAATCAACTATTTATCCTCCCAACTTTCTTCTAAATTTAACTGGAAAAATAACAGTACATTATTTAAAATCCAGCAATTTTTTTAATGTAACTTATTTGAAACTCAACCTCAAAGTTGATTGTGAAAGTTAGAACACGGAACTCTGAAACCAAGTGTAAGCTTTGGATTTTATGTATTTGTGAAAGAATTGTGAAAAAGTTGTGAATCAAAATTTATTTAATGTTGACTCCTTCAGTAATATTTTTAGGCATCAATTTCCAATTGACATTTACACATCCCTCTCACACTGCAGGACTGCTAGCTCCTACCAGCTCACCTGCCTGCTTGCCTGATCGCCCTTAACCACTCTACCTACCTGCCTGATCACCCCTAACCCTTCTGCCTGCCTGCCTGATACCCCCTAACTGACTCTGCCTGCCTGCATGATCGCCTGCAGGCCTAATCACCCATGCTTGCCTTCTCCTGCCAGCCTGATCACCCCTAACTGCTCCCCTGCAGGTCTGATCACCCCTAACCACCTCTGCTTTGGCTCCTGTCACCATGGCTTTGTCCTGAAGGAGGACAAACAACCAGAAGATGTCCAGTCAACCTGATCTAATTATCATATTACCCTTTTATTAGGGTAATTCATTTTTCTTAATCCCCTTTTCACTCATCCCTCCCAATCTCCCTCCCACATAGTGACCATCACTTGGTTTTCTTTACTAGTTTATTTCTATTTTGTTTGTTCATTAGGTTTTACATATAAGTAAAATCATACGGTATTTGCCTTTCTCTATATGACTATTTCACTTAGCATAATACCCTATAGGTCCATCCATGTTGACACAAATGATTTCATTCTTTTTTACGGCTGAATAAAATTCCATTGTATATCTGTACTACATCGTCTTTATTCATCTATTGAAGGACACCTGGGTTGCTTTCATATCTTGGCTATTGTAAATAATTTTACAGTTAACATAGTGGTGCATATATCTTTTCAAATTAGTGTTTTAGATTTGTTTGGATAAATACTCAGAAGTGGAATTGTTGGGTCATATGGTAACTCTATTTTTAATTTTTTTTGAAGAACCTCCATGCTGGTTCCCATTGTGGCTAGACCATGTTGACCAATGTGCATATAAATTATACTTGAATAATTATTGAAATGATTATACCACAATATTATATTTGCTTTCTGTTTTAAATTACTTATAAAACTACATTAAACATAGTTATTATATATATATATATATATATATATATATATATATATATATATATAGCTAGAATTATGTTTTCAGGAATCCAATAATATTTTCATCAACTGGAAAATTAATACTAGATTTAATTTTTATATAAATATAATTTGTATATTCCATAGTCTTTATATATGTGACAATTTAGGCTTTGACTATGTGGATTATTATCATTTAAATTATTTCCATGCAAAAGTATAAAATAATGAAAATGTTATTCCAGTCTACTTTAATTGTCTTTGTTTTTTTTAAGTCGCTAAGAACCAATAATATTTTAGCTAATTTGAAACCACCATATATCTGAAAGTATTTGGCAATGTGCACATGCTTGATTTTAATTTTTTTATACTTTTGATTCATTTTCCAATTACTTACCTCTTTTTCAGCCTCATATTTACCTAAGCACTAGAACAGGTGTTATGTAAAACTAGAATAAATTATAGTGAGCTATTTTTAAAAATAATCTGCATTGAAATGTAAAATACTTCGGTAAGTATTCACTCTTAATATAATAGTTACCACTTAAAATGGGTCATATGCTTGTCTTTATTTTAGAGTTTTATATATATTAATATTATTCTTTGGAATATATTATCATACATTTACAGTATTTTGAGAATTAAAATATCATATTTCTTTGTATGTTTTACAGTGACATATTCATGAGGATAACAAAAATTTAAGGTTAGCACTTATTCAACATAAAATATCTTTAATTAATGGCTTTATAATATTTTAGAGAATAGGAAAAAAAAGAAATTGTTTTCAAAAATATATTCAAATATTAAACCAATTATAATAAGACAATTAAACATGCCTTCCAAAATAATGTCGACTGGCAATGTTCTAGACTTTATGGGTTGCCAGGAAAAGCTAACTCTATGTATGAGGAATTTTACACAAAGATATAGAAATTATCTTACTGCCAGCAGATAATTAAATTATGCAAAAATTGAAGTTTTAAAATTGTTGTATTAATTATTATGACCAATTAAAATGTTAAAATATTTCACACTTAACTTTTTTAAAATATAAAAATATTCTATTCTTAGTAGGAAAAAAAGTTCACGTAGACATATGAAATCATTACTATTTTAAGTATCACAAGAAGATAAGTTTGTTAGTGACTCTCTTTAAGGAAATATTATTCATTAAATGAGAATTACTAAAAATAAACAATTCTACCATTAAAAATCTTTTACTTTATATTTTATGTCTAAAAATGCATATCAATATTTTTTGATATTACAATTGTTAAATTGTGAAGCTTCTAAAATGTAGTGAGGAAAATGCAGTATTCAGATTTAAAATATTAAGAAATTTAAAAATCTAAACTGTATGCCCATCATTGAAGAAAAGTATCCATATTAACATGTATTGTATGAATGTATAAACTTCTTTTTAAAACCCTACTATACATGTAATTTACTAAACTTAAGAAGTAAGTTTTTTTAGCCTTACCCAATAGGCCTTGAAACAATAATTTCAACTTGAGGTTCTGATTTTGATTCTAAAATAATGTTGTAAACTTCTTCATTTGTAGCTCCCGGCAGGGGTTTACCATTCCATTCTAGAACTTCATCCCCTTGAATTTAAAAAAAAGGGTATTTTTTTTAACCTTACATATTCTGTGTATTTTTCTTATCTTTTCTCTCATTTTAAGAAATGCAAAACATATACAAATAGTTTAACTATCTAGGTTCTGCTCTCAAGAAATTGATTTCCATATAATGTCAGCTAAATTGTTCTTCTAAACACTTTTTTTCTTTTCTTTCTTTTTTTCTTTTTCTTTCTCCCAATGAAGCCTACTGGTCACTAGAAACAGTATAATACAAACTACCTTCATCTTTTGAAATATACCAGAAATAACATAAAAATAATTTCATGCTATGGGATGGAATTAGCATAGCTTATTTGGAAACATTAAAAAATAATAATTAGCAGCATGCCCTCCATATAATAAATGTAGGCTTTTCTAAGTGTAAAAGGTTATTATTAAACTCTGCATAAATCCTGCTTTATTTTTGTTAGAAAGTGCAATTGACATTTGTTAGCATGATTTTTCCAATTATAAGTCATGTGTCTTTGCCTTTACCAGATGCACAACAGAATAAAAATGCATGAAAGGACTTGAATTCATACCCACAGGGCAACGCAGGTAGCTATGGCAAAGTTACAAAGCAAGCAGATGTAAAAACTTGCATGACAGTTAACCCACTTCCAGATGTTCATAACACACACATTCTATACATAATATATATTGTGAGCATTAAAGTTAGGAAATATTTTGAAGATAATAAAAATTTGAGTATTCATTAGTTTGTTAAATATTCTAAAACTATTCAAAGAAAGTACATGATTCCATGGTACAATACATGGGCTAACAACTTGTTATTCTTAACCAGAATTTTCACCATCATTTGGGAAATGCTATTAATTTTCATAAATATTTAGTGAAGTTTTAGGTCCCAAATGGTTCTCTGTCCAGTATCTTTTAATACATTATGGTAGGCTCAGCTAAAATATTCAGCCTCAATGAGACATCTTAGTTTTTCTGTTCCTTTATTTGGTTGTTTTCAGTGTCTATAACATTTTAGTAGCTAATATGTTTTGAACTAATGATTCAATTTCATCATAAACACAAACATGAAATATTTTAATTAGCAATGTCTTTCAGTAGAAACTTTGTTTTGACATAACTATTGTAAGTAATTTTTTTCACATAAAAAGTAACTGAATATTTGAAAAGCACATGATGCTGCTTTGGTTTGGTAAAAGAATACAGTTAAGTAAGTACATTTAACTAAATACAGCTAAGTGACTTCTAATAGCTTGACCTAAGAAGTTCCTTAGCCATGTTTATCAAGTAGGCAATAAATATACTTCAGATAAAAAAGAAATAAAATAATTACAAATTTAAATATTTAACAGGAGTCCTCTATTTTTTTTGGCCAAGAAATTACCTCATGCGAATGTACATATGTATATGTGTGTGTATGTGTATGAAAAATATTTTCTGGAACCGTACTTACCCTGATATTTTCTATTTTACTATGTTCTAATTCACTTTTTAAAAACAGTGGATGCAAACCATTAAATCAATTTTACTACCCAGTAATGCATTGCAATCAACATTTTTCAAAAGACTGGATTATTAAATTCTCCTCTTTATAGATAGCAACCTGGAGCATAAATTCTAACATCAAATTAACTTGGTACCCACATTTATTTATTTACAAATCAATACATCCTCAACCAGAAGGCAGTCTCTTTAGTGATATTTATTTATATACGAATAATCTGTTCAGGCTGGGGCATATATTATGATGGTACAAAGATAAAACAAGAGACTTTATCTGTCCTTAAATTTGGAGGAGGAGAATTATAGAAATGAACACCTTTCATGAAATGATAGCAATTCATCTGAGGATCAGAAATAGAGCCAAATAGTTTTAAGGAAGTAGTAATAAGTTACTGTCCCGAGTGAGATATCAGGAAAAACTTTAGAATTAAGGGAACTTTTGATGAGTTTTAAAGGATGGAAAGGACTTCAACAGGCAGAGCACAAGAGCAGAAAAGAAACCAGGTAGACTAGATGACCAGGTCTCACTGGCAGAAATAGCTTGCCAGGGACCTACAGGTAGAATCCATGGTTGGAGTGTATAGTGAAAGGTAATGGAAGTGGGTGGAGTTGTTATATGAGGACAAAGCCACTAAGCTTTGATTTGAGCATATCATGATGGAAACACTGAAGAGTCTTTATAAGGAAAATGTCAGTATCTATTTGGGGTTTTTGATAATTCTATCAGTAGCAGGACAGCGCATGAACTTAGAAGGGACATCTGCAGTAGAGAAACCTATTTACAGCAAGTCTAAAACAAGATTGCAAATGTTGAATAAAAGTCATGGTAATAAAAACATAGTACTTATTTTTATAGACCAATCATATTTATATGCAAATAGAAGGAAAATATTTCTTAAATTATAATGTCAATCAGAATATATGATCTAATTTATTAAAATAATTATTAAAATACATCAATTGCTTAAAATGAAAGTATACTAGTATGTTTTATAATTACTAAAGTTGAGCTTTTATCATTTTAGATTTATGTTTCTCAAGCTCTAAGCACATAAGGGTGTTAAATAAATGAAATTAAAAAAATAACATCTTTTGCTGACTTTCTTAAGTAATCCATTAAAACACAAAGACAAACTCAAAACCCATTATGTTTATTATCTGATCTGAGAATTCAGATTTATGCAAAGTTGTCTTACATTGGACTAGTCGACAAGAGATTCTTATAATTTCTAAGGCTTATTTTTGAGTCATAAAATAAGCAAAGACTCAATTTGCTGATATAGTCATCTTTATTGAGTTAGTTATTTAATGATAACTAGTCCCTAATAAAAAAATAATAGTGTACTCTGCCTCTGCACATATTTAAAGCTGTATGCATAGTAAATAAAATAACACAATTTGAATTTTCTCTCCATATTACACATGCATAGCACGTTCCTATCAAAGAAAAATCTAAATGACACTGAACTGTTATCCTCATAATTAATTTTGACAAAAAATGTCTTCAAAAGTCATAGAATATTTTTTCTTAGGGTTTCAACAATTACAATCTTAAGATATAAAAACTAAAAACATAGCCTAGAAATGTTCTCTTTATTTGTATCTCCTGGCAGGGGTCATCATTCTATTCTAGAACTTCATCACCTTCAATAAAAAATAAAAAAGTGAATTTTTTACCTTATATATTCTGTGTATTTTTCTTATATTTTCTCATTTTTACAAATAGATGCAAAACATATACAAACAGGTTAATTGTGTGGACTCTGCTCTCAAAATAAATTTTTTTGCTCATGAGTACTATATATCACGTTTAAATTAACAAGTATTTTATTATATAATTTATATAAGAAATGTAATTGGGATTATATTTTATTAAAAACACTGATAGTGAATAAGTGTTTTGGGACCAATCTGAAAAATTAGTATTTCCTATAGCTTAAATACAAACTAAAGAAATAAGTAGTGATATTACTTTTTCACAAGGCTAAATTGTTTTTATGTTTGTAGGAACATTATGAAGCCATCTATGAAAATTAGAAATCTTTTGGTATTTTGCATCTATTTATTTTTACATAAATAAAAAACATTCCTATACTTGCTTTGTCCAAACTGCTAGTGATGATATCAGGGGAAAAAAATCTATTCATGCATTAAAATTAGTTATTTACTTCATTGACTTATCTATGACTTACCCAAATTTGAAAATCACCAACTCATGCAAAGAGTACACATTGTTCGAATGTAAAAAGAAACTTTACCTGCTCTTAAATGTCCAACTACATCTGCAAGGCTACCCTTCTTTACTTTGGTGATGAAGGCACCAAGGCGTCCTAAGTCAGTCATTTTTCCTCCAACAACCTGGATAATTACAAACTTATAAGTGCCCAAGGCTAAAACATGAGGTTTATGTTTGAGGAATTAATCACATCAGTCTTTTATGATGTACTTAGAGTGTAGGGACATTAATGAAGTGAAATACATTTCTGTTAAAGAAGCTGGAAGCATGGCTTTAAAAAGAAAACATTGTCTCATTATTGTTTAAGATGGCCATGTATCCTAAGAAAGCTTATGTACTGATTACTTATATTGACCTAACAACACAAAGGCGCCGCAAATAGTGTATAACCCTACAAGACAAGTGCCAGTTCTTCCTTACTTACCATCAAACAGGAAGGGTTTGACACTGTTTACATCAGTGTTCACTTTTCTTTATCCTCTCAATTCATGCCCACCTTGTGAATTATATTTCTAAATGCCGACAATGCCCCGTTGGCATTTCTGATCTTGATCTCTTTTGTATATTTTTAGTGGAATGTAGGTCTAAGACATAAAGACTAGGAATTCAGACCAACAACAGGAACTTTGGGGAAGCAATTTACTATGTTCAAAGAATAACAAGCCCAAATTATCTCTGCTACTGAACATGTGAATGAGCTCTTCACCTGAAATCTGTATGTGATTCAATCTAACTCTCAAAGCCAGAGTTATATTACTGAATATTCAACACTCTCACCTGGCTTTTCCACTCTAGCTAAAAATAAATACATCGGAATTCTAAGTAAATATTCTAAGTTTAATTTCTTCCCAAAGCAGGGAAGTTGGGAAGTATAATTAGAAGTTGGAGAGATATTCTCAAAGTTTGAGATTGATCCATAATCCATAGGGCTATACCCATTCGGATAGGTAATGAAAATTACTTCATAACAGGAGAAATTAAGGATAATAATAAAAAGGTAATACTATTAAATACATCAACTTAAACATTTTAATTGGATTAGTAGTCAATAGCTTGAAAGAAATCAAACTACCGCACAACTATAAAACAATCTCTTGGTAAATAATTTTAAAGCAGCAGCTTTGAATGTTTCTCTGTTTTTTAAAGAAAATAAAACCGTGAGATTTAACACACAGGCACAAACATAATAAAACAAAATGTATGCACATATTTTTCCTACAATAAAATACAATCTTTTGTAATTTATTAGTTTTTTATTTTCTCTGTTAAAGTCAATTAATATTTTAAAGGGTACATTTTACTCTTTTGATATGACCATAAATTCTACTGCATTTAGAAAACAGTATCATTAATGATGTTTTATGTTGCTTTTCAAGTATAATAAAAAGTATAGTAATAAAATTATGCAATCTGCATTATCTAACCTTAGGACCACACATTAAAACTTTTTTGATATAAAACTGCACTTGAACTTTATATTCAGATATTCTTTAGTTTTCCTATAATTTATTGCAGTTTTTTAACATATTGTCATATTTACAAAGTATTTTTAAAATATTAACCTAGATAAAATACTAAATTTACCCTAAAGCATCACCATATTAACAAGACATTTGCTAGAAAGACTTTATTTGGAGAAGAGAGAAAAATATTTAAAAATCATTGTCAAACACTTTGTTGAGTCCTGTCCATACTGTAATTCCCTCTTTAAGAAACATTTGAAACCAGCATACTTACTTTCAGGCCCAGTAATGCACCTGATTCTTTGGGCATAGTTGTTCTCTTGTTAAGAATAACACGTCCAATTAATCGGTCCCCCTCTTTAGATGGTTGCCACGTTACAGGATGCTATTAAGACATGAATAAAGTTAAAGAAAATTTGTTTTCTTTTCTGTAGTCACATAATTATTGGTTGTCACATGATGAGATTTCTTCAGTTAAAGACACTATAGGGAATTCTTGATACTGCTGGGCTCTATCCTTGGACAATTTTAATTTGCAGTGGACGACTATTACCCTAAATAGTTCTAAAAGTATCCAACAGCTAAGTACATCCTTAAAAATAGTTCTGAAATAAAATTAATTGAAATTTAAAAATATATCTGCTTCTATAGAGAAACTGATTCTGTATTTTGAGTAGTATTGTGAATTTTTGATATATCTAATCAAATGATATCTGATTTCCAGTCATCATTTAATAATTCCTTTTTATTTAAAAATTTTTATAATTATTCAGTGATAACTTTTTTATTCAAAACTGTTCTGTCTTAAATGAAATCAATGTTTGCTCTCATAAAATGTATAATGGAGCAGAATAAGATTACTATCGAGCACATATCAGCAAGGGACAATAAATAGCACATATTACCCCTAAATTCCAAACCCTCACTTCCCAGAAAGCTTACCGAACTAATCGGTGATGTTTCCCGACTATGCCACGTGGCAGGATCCAGCCAGTAATAATCCAAGTCACCTGCACAATAAAATAAAATAAAAAGGAAATATTATGCTTTAGAGTAGAGAATGCTTTAATCATTTTAAGTATAACTTCTTCAATCTATAAAAGTTATGAATATCATAATCTTGACTGTGTGTATCCCAGAAAGATAATCTGCATTCCAAAGGCTGTGACCTGAATCCTTGGAATGAATGTATGTTACAAAAGCACTTCAGTCTATAGGAAGGTTTTCTTTTACAGTCATCATCAGGCTAGAAACACACACAAAAAGTATGGAAGGCGCTGGGTTAATCCACTCCACTTACCCTCCATACCAAGGCACTGCCTGCCACCTACTGATGCTGGCTGAAATTATAGTCACTGAATTGAGATAAAACTGAGTGTCTCCCTTTTTAGTCTTCTGAACTATATCATATCTTTCAAAATTATTCACTGACCTCTATCCTCTTCCTTCATCAGCTGAGAAACAAGATAAATACTTTTGGACATGATGTTGAATAATTCAATATCAAGAATAGCTTTTGGCAAAAGAGTACATACAAATGATAGACTATCCAATTTTATGAAAGCCATAAAAAACCTTTACAATCTTTAATTTTGTACAAATGAACTCTTGAACCTTTAATTTTTATTGTTTTAGCTTAAAAGTAGAATGCTAAAGAAAACATCTGAGAAAAAAAGGAAAACGTACTGGAAAGCATCAGTTCTTCCAGTAATTGTATAGGAAGAAAGGACAGAGTGGGTAATCCATGTGAGAAAAAAACCTTTTACATCTCATACGTGAGACTAAGTCACTTAAAATATTTCTCCCTGTGGATCTTGAAAGAGAAAAATGTTAACAGAATGAGGAAAGCATGCCATCTAACAATGAGATGTCTACCTGGTTACTGAGGAAATGTTTGGCTAATATCTCTGAAGGTCCTAAGTAAAACTTTTTGTGTAGACTACAGGCCTGGCACATATAGACACTATAAAAGAAATGTAATAGGAAACAAACACTTTATACACCAGCATTAAAAAGCCATGCACTTCAATTTCTCAGTGGCTGCTCCCTTTCTTTTTTATACAACTAAAGGCCTGGTGCACGGATTTGAGCATCAGTGGGGTCCCTCGGCCTGGTCTGAGGGAACAGCTGAAACCAACTCTCCAATATCCCCTGAGAGGTCCCAGATTGCAAGAGGGTGGTTCTCAGGTGAGGCATCCTGGAATCAGGCTCCCTCCTCTCTGGTTCTGGGTCAGTCACCAGAACCACAGCTGCCAAGTCACCGCAAGTTGGCAGCTGCTGCATTGAGTGTCTGCCCCCTGGTGGTGAGTGAATGTCACAGCTACCAGGGACAGTCAGATGGTTGCTTAGGCTTTTATATATATAGATATCTTAGGAAGGTTGATGGAAAATATTATACATACTACAATAACTACAAAAATATTCTTCAAATATGTCATATAGGTAAAAGTAATAAATTTTATAAAGGGTGCATTAGAAGAAACTATATTCTGTGGAAATTTACTCCATATGGGGTCTCTAACCCTCTCAAAATCATTCACTTTAAAATGTATACACAACTTGGTGTCGATAATAATAGAGTTTTAATCTTCTACTGGACCTTCTCGGTTAATGAAATATAAGAACATTTATAAAAGGAAAGGTTTTTTTTTCTCCTTTATTTTTATTGTTTTTAAAGGTCAGATGTTTATTTTTAAAGTTGCTGTCTTTAATATCAAGATACTAAGTTTTTTTTCTCTCTCTTGAAAGAAAAAAGTATTTATAATAATAAAATTAAAATTAACTACAAATATCATTCAAACTCCTATTGCAATTCATAAAGCTTTCTCCCTAAAATTTCATATACTATGTAATAAGGTCTGATGACTTCTTAAGTGCTAATTCATTTTGAAATACTGGGACAAAAATAAAATGACTTCGATAAAATTAGTAATTTGAAAGCTGCTTTGTGAAGTCTTTGAATTTAAACAAAAAAACTGTTGAAAATCCATCCCATTTAAAAGACTTCAAAAAAACAAAGTTTGTTGTATGCTTCAATATGACTTCAATGCTAAAAGTTTGGGATCTTTCTCTGATGTATGGCCCAATTTCTCATATAGTGGATCAACCCTGTATTTAACTCAATTTGTCCTAAGTAAATCTAGATTAACATACCTTATGAATATTTGCTTACATGTAAATAACCAAAAGATTAGGTTTCTGGCACATTTTGATGATGATACCGAGCACTCCTCACTAGGAAAACATTGCTTTCAAGCAAAGTTACTCTATCATCTATAAGCTTTGTAGGATAATTATCTTGAATGGAGAGTTTAATTGATTTTAGATGGGTCAGATATAGTTGCCAGGTGATTTCCCTATGCAGCCAGCAATAATTCATACCTTACCCTGACAGTGGTAATATGGATGCTATAGATTTTGCAGCTTAAAATAAAACCATATCCCCCAACTTTAGCCATAGATAGTATTGTCAATATATACTAAAACATACAATAATATTTTTTATATTTTAGAATATAGTTACACTTCCTTCATATTCTGAACAAATTCTAAATGTCTTCTTATCACTAATTTCCATTATCAACCATTAAAATAAATTCTAAAACTTAAATTTTTAGTTTTAAACTATATTTGTTTCTTATTGCCATGTAATTACTAAATTTGAAGATATTATTGTCTTTTTAACTGCTCTAACTTGCCTTTATAAGTCACATTTCTTTAGTATTAATGGAATAAGCAACACTAAACAAAACTTTCTCCTAAAATATTTGGACTCTAGCATATCCTATAAAATAAAACCCCAATATGCAAATCAAATGAATGGTAGAACAACTGTTCGTTATGATACACACTGACCACCAGGGGGCAGATACTCAACGCAGGAGCTGCTTCCTGGTGGTCAGTGCGCTCCCACAGCAGGAGTGCCGCTCAACCAGAAGCCAGACCCATGACTGGTGAGTGCAATGGCAGTGGTGCAATCCTCTCCTGCCTGAGCTGCAGGCAGGAAGTAAGGAGCGAGGGGTTCTGAACTGAGAGAGCCCCAGACTGCGAGAGGGATGTTTGACTGCCAGCTTAGGCCTGATCTCCAGGGGACATCCTCTGAGGGGTCTAGGACTGCGAGAGGGTGCAGGCTGGGCTGATGGACAGCCTCCACCCCTGCACCAAGTGCATGAATTTCATGTACCAGGCCTCTAGTCATTAATAAAAAACATTTTCCTGGATTTTTCTAACATGTGATGAAAGGTATTGATTTCAAGTGACATAGATACAAAAATGATAAATTCATGGTATAAGGAATTAACATAAAAGCATTTTGGTTCTAATATTCAATATAGCTATAAAGGGATAAATGTACTATTAATATTAACTTAGATTCAGGAAATGTCTGAGTCTATTTAAATAGTTCAAGTTCATAAATAGCCAAGTTTTATGAAGTGTTATGATTTTAAGCATTATTTTTGTGAATTCTTTAAAAAAAGACTTTTATCCTACCCCTTGTGAAAAATAGGTTAAACAATATATTAGCATACAACTTTCACTGCACAAATAAAAATGAGTTAATAACATGTGAGCCTTCTATAAAGAGAATGAGCTGTCCCTACATGCAAGCCATCATGATTAGAGTACGAAACAATGCATAAACTTGCACCTCTGTGATTTTAAATTCTGTATCTTATGACCTCATGTCAGGCACAGCAGATTCCAATAAGACTAATCGAAGTCAATTGAACAAAAATACATTCTAAATAACATAAAGTATGATTGAGTGTGTATGAGTATATGAAATCTGTAAGGAGAAAACCACAAATCTAATTCCATACATTATATATCTATTTAACAATTTTCATGACAGTTACATTGAACCAAGTAGAATGTTCATCTAGTGTGTAGTTAGTAAAAGAAAGCTTATCTACACTAAAGCCTTGCTATATTAGAAAATCTGGAATTCTTCTTTATCTCCAGTATAAATACACAGTATATTTTTAAAACATCATTATAATGAATGGTGATTACAGATGGAACTCAAACTGATTATAAGATTGACTCATAGTAAATCTCCACAATTTCAAATACATATCATAATAGTGCTGCCTGTCATCTCAAAAACTAAATTGTTCTTCCTATATAATACAGATTGTTGACATTAAAAAAGTATAAAACTCATAGACCGAAAAATCAGAAGAATCCTCCTTCCCAGAGATTTCCTGTATTTCTTAAAAGGTTTTCTTTTTTTTCTTTTTCTTTTTTTTGTTTATCCTCCACAAAAGCATGTGCATTGACACTAAGTAAAATTAATAACTACTAACCTACTTTATTATAGCACAGTACATAAATAAAATTTTGAACAAAATATAGATTTGTTAAATGTTTTATACAGTGCATACACAAAAAACCAACTCAATTCTAAGAATGTGTTTGTAATTTGAGACAAATTAAGACACAGAGTACCATGTTCACCACACATGAGTTAATAAATATGGCTTTGATTATAACATGATTAAAAACATACATTTTAGCTCATTTTAATATTCTACAAGGACATTCTTTCATTGACAGTAATTAAAATCCAAGTCTAAGAACTGTGGTAAATCTTAACTTCTCATTAATATAATGAAAATACCATTTTGAAATATTTCCCTCCTATTTTAGAAGACTATTTCAGATACATTTATGTCTACAAAAGTTGTGTCTACTCCCATCCATAAGTTATACAATAGTGGAGCTGACATTGGGATAAATCAGTAATAATGTGTTATGCAGCCAAGTTCTAGAGACCTAATTTCACCTAAATTAAATTAGCTGCCAGGGATAAGAAACACTATTATTTAATAGGACTTACTTTTCTAGGCAATAAAATGGAAAAACATACCTGTTAAATTTAGTCATTAATCTGTGAAATGTGAAACCCAATGTGTAATGATGCAAAATTACAGATGAGTTACTATCAGTCTAAATTCCTAGTATACTAAAAATATTGGTCCTCAAATACTTTTTGGTGAGTTCATCCAAA